TATCAAAACAAAATCAGAAACCTGGTGAATTTTTGGTGAATCGTGGTTATAAGTTTTACATCACACACATGCAGTTATATTCTTACACATCTTATGGGCCAAGGGGGGTCAGCATTAYTACCTATATTTCGAAAAATTTAATTTTTTTGAAATTGAAACATAATTCTAAATAATTTGACGTCATTGAAAAACTTAATGCTTACAAGTTTATAAGTTATTAATTTTTTAGAATAACTACTTATTATATATTTTTAATCTCATATTCAGAACAAAATATTGCTTTTTGGAGTATACTTACTTCAATACAATATAGTCATGACAATCGAGTTTTAAACAACTAGTTACTTAGACTATAATAGTATTAAAATATTTTAAGTTAAAATTAATTATGGTTATTGGTGACTCAGGGTTAGGTACTTACGCCTCAAATGGTATACCTCGTGTTCATCAACAAACTTAAATACTCGTTCGATCTCTACTTTTATATACTTTATCTTTGTTTAGGTACTATGAAATATTGTCTGGTAAAATAAGAAATTTAAAATTTAGGCAAATTGTTATTTGAAAAAAAAATACATAAAATAGGCAGGTATGTTATTTTTCAATAAATTAGGTAGGTATCTATATTAATTTCTGTAAAAATAGCATTTTCAAATATAATGGCGTTTATAATATGTTACCATAAATGCCCGATCACTAGGTAAACCTAGGTTTTACTAGTAGTTAAAGCTAAGGTTTACTGTATGTGCTCAGTAAATTCTAAAATTCTTAATTTTATTCGGRCTTTTATACTAAACACGTTGTGTATATCCTAGGATATACAAATTGACTTAGTAAAAGCTGATCAATACAYGACACATAACATTTAGGCGATAAGCTGCGTAAAAATTATAATTACATATTATTAAAACAAATTAGGTACTGACAGTTATTTACATTTTTATACAAAATAAAAATGCATTAAAAAACAGAATTATTATACATTTGTTCATACAAATTTAGTAAAATTGGTGAGTAGTAATAAATAATTATTTAATTTTTTATTTATTTGCACATGTATGATTATGACATTTTAATTGCATTTTTTTTTATCTTGTATAAAAATTTAAATAACTGTCAGTAGTTTGTTTTAATAAATTAATATAATTATAATTTGTGCGCATAAACTACTATTAAAACCTAAGTTTATACCTAGTTATCGGGCATTTACGGTAATATATAAACACTTAAAAGTAAAATGGATAAMTTTGAATAATATTAGTATATCTAAGATATTCTATTCGGTGTTCATTGTTCAGTGTTCTTCAATTCTCTCTATTATCATGTTGTATATATAATCGGGAACACAAAATTTGAAAACGCGTACGACATTAATATTATAGTAGAGGTGCCCATACACTATAACGCAACTCTGTAATGTATTTTAAGATTTGCATAAAATACGAAGGTTTTCAATGTAACGATCCGAGCTCGTTACCAAGAGACGGGTGAATATTACTGTGCATACATACATAATGTACCCGGTGATTGCACTAATGACGTTAATGTACCTATAATACTGCAGGCGTTATATTGGACGAGCTGCAGCCCTGCAGGGCCGACGCTGGAAGGGTTTTACAATATTATAATAGTATAATACTTAATATTATTATAGCAATAACGTGTTGACAATTCGATTTTTGCAAACATGTTTTATAATAAATTTCGTGAAATCAAATAAGTCATTACAAATAAACAATTAAATTACATAATAATCATAATATTGTATTAAACGCAATCGTGCGCGGTCAACTACGGACTATGGCTGCAGACGACGACACGAAACGAATCATAATGAATAGGGAATAATAATATAATATAGGGATATTCGCATGTAAGCGAGTAACATCCACACATGTCATGATAAATAAATAAAATAATAAATAGGTAATGATGATGATGATGATAATAATAATAATAGTAATAATAATAGGTAATTAAAAATGGCCGAAATGTTATGTTCCGCGGTAAGACGTATAATATATACCTCCGCAACGGCGGGTGAGCATTTTGTTTGTTGTTATTTGCTTTAATAATAAAGGTACGTAAATATTAATGTCATCTTGCCGGTTTCCGCAGACCGGATATCCTTCAGTCACCGTCGCCGTTATCATCGGCGTCTCCTGACCTGCGCTGCGGCGTACGGCGAGTAGTTGACCGCAGCTGACGATGACTTGGCGTGGCCGGCGTACGAAYCGTAAACGCCGTACGACTCGGTGGGCGAGGTGTGCCACGGGGTCTCGACGATCTTGTACGACGGCGGCTGGCTCTCACGGTTCTTCTTCAGCGCCATGATGAACTGTGCGATCTGGATGAGCACGCTGATCAGGCTCAGCCCGACGCTTTTGAACGCAAACACGTGACCGATGACTGCCATCAGAGTGCTGAGCACCATTTTCACGTAGCTAAGGCCCATTTGCATGACCTCCATCTTGTGCTTGTTATCGCCCTTATTGTCCCTGACTGAAACCAATAGTTCGCGGCCATTAAATATCATACGCAATATTCCATAATATCTTATAATATACCTAGGTATAAAAGGGTTATATAATCATCGTGATTTGAGGAGTGGTAATCGGGCACTTAGCTTTTTAAAGAATTCTCGAGCTGCCTTCCTCCCGAAACAAATTAATTTTTTGAGAAACTACTTTTCTTTGCATAATATGATCAATAATATGATCAATAATATCATTTAAAATATATTGTATGACATATTATTTTAATTGATATAATTATGGGGATTTGTTTTGCCAACTTGCCACTGAAACCTAACCAACTGTAACCATTGCAGTCAGCAGCTATAAGCTAACTATATATTATTCATATAATTTCACCGTATTACCTATAGGTATATATGAATTTATATGCTTATAAATGGTATGGAATGGGGCATGATGACAAAGTGAGGCATGGCGGGGGCTAATATTTTTAAGATAGATTAGTAGCCGGTAGGTACATGTTGTTGGTCTCCATCAATTATCTTATGAACTTATGATCTAGGTATACTGCACTATAATGCACTATACACTTTATACTATGCGAAAATATTTCATTTAATTAATTATAATTGTATTGAATTAAAAGAATTAAAACGGCTGTATTATAGTTAATATATATAGTTAATATTATTGATCTACTAATGTAACGTTGCACATGYCATTATTGATTTCTGATTCAACGCTAATTCGCCGTCACGTCGAATTGGTTGACTTATGATTATAGTGATTGATGGTGACTTGGGAGTCTCATATGAGAAAAAAAATAGTCGGGATAAGTATGTAGTGTATAAGTAGTAATCAGTATGTATTCCTTATTTCTACGATAATTATACTCGTACCTATGTTAAAATGTCTATGCTATGCCTACTCTGTATAAATAAATAGTGTGAGTAGGTACTTGAATAGATTTTATGATTTATATACTAGCTGATCCCTGTGCATTTCGTTGCTCGTTAAAAATACCAAYTCTATATGATTCAAAATTTGTGTTTGATTCGTCGTTTAATACTCGGATAGTCATGTTCAAAATTTCCTGTGGATGATCTAACTGATGTTGGTTTGGTAATTTTGGGTACCTATAACTACTTTTCCACCACTAAAACATAGTCTTTGCTTGACATTTGTTGCATATTTTATCCATCCTACAAATATCAACATCATTTAGTATAGAATAGTCAAGGTTACAGTCATAAGCAGAACAAGTCATATACAGTAGAATTAAAAAAATTGTATGGCCTGCGAGCTCTATTCATTATTGATCGTATATTTTGTTGAGCTAATCGACGGGAATGTTCAACACTTAATTCCCTAGCTTGGTTTTGTTCACTGATTACTCGTAGAGTAGCCAACCTAAGCATATTTTCATTCGCTGTGACGCTGTTTAATTTCTGCACTAAAGTCGTAGCCGTTTTAGTGTAGCAGACTGCAGAGAAAGCTGAGTTCTTTTTCTAAGCATAATACAAACGTTGAAAGAACTAGCGAAACAATACCCAATAGAAAATTTCTTCAAAATCAAATACTATACTGCTTAAATCAAACTGAGTGTGGACAACAACTTAAATAAAAACAATTATACCAAAACGAATACGTCGTATTAATATTATTTCGTTGCCTAGTTATATTTTAAAACTATGATATTTTTTATTCTTCTATTCTTGCCCAAGGCAAAATTTAAAATTTTTTTTTTTTGAAACAGTGCAAAAAGTTTGAACAATTAACACTAGTTTAACTTGAGACACTCAGTATATTAATCCTACTGAAGTGTCACTACGTTATAGAATTCGATAAGCAGCAATAATTTCATGGTTTTATAAATAGCAGATTCATAAATTTCTTATAAATTCTTAGGTTCAGATTTAACCTGTMGACTTTYAAAAAATATTGTACCTATAGCATATAGCCTTTCTCGATAAAAGGAAAATCCAATAAAAAAAATAACTTTTAAATTCGAACCAGTAGTTCCTAAGATTAGCGTGTTCAAACTTTTTTAACTCTTCAGCTTTATAATATTTAAAAAAAAAAATAGATTAATATTATAATATGAGTAATTGGAAATGCSACATGTGGCATTGGGTATAGATTCTATACTTCTATAGTACCTATTATRTCTATATTTCTTATATAGACTACCTTTATTKGCTTTATTATAGTATACACCAATACGCAATACACCTATATATAAGTCACTACTCACTATAGGTATAGAATATACGTAGACTATGTGTGGTAGCGGTACCTTACCTACTTCATATTAAACTATTAGCTATACTATATATRTTTTATCATATTATGATTGATCGTATCTACTATGTTGATTATTCACGATAATAGACTATATTAATGGGAGCACCGAAGAAAACGTTAACGTGAACGGTAGGTAAGTAATAGTTGGGAGTTTGACACTATAGCCCGTCGCTGTCGATAAGTATAGACTATAGATATGTGTTTCATGCGGGGTAATAACACGTGCGTATCATTGAAAATCGTACTAATAACAATATATAAGGTATACCTAACTAATGTATTCTACATTTCTACCTTTCACATATCATTTTGTTTAATACAATTAATACAATTTTTAATTAATGATAATATAAATAAAAGGAGCAGCGAAGACAACGATAATTATGTGTACTGAAGGTTGGGAGTAAACCGTCTGTAGCAAGACGTATACGTGTGTGTTGTACATAGCCGCATACACGCGTATGCATGCATTAAGAATAAGGCGAATGAAYTTGTTGTGGTTAGGTTACTGGTTAGCTTACTGGTAAGAGAACCTATAAAACATAATATTATAGAACAATACGTGCGACTAGATGATTTTTCAATTACCTAATAAATCTGATTGAGTGTCTGAGAATAATTTAGCATTCATTTTTATGTATGCATATAACGCGGTATAGGTATACCTACTGTTGTTAATTCAAGAAGAAGAAAATCACTACCTACCTACAAATTTGATATACGTTTGTTAAGTAGGTACCTAGTACTACCTATATCTATATATTGTAATTTGTAATCATATAATAAGTTATAATAACCAATATAATAAGGTCAAACAATAAGGTCGTAATGTTTTTTTTTCTATAGACATAGATAGAGAATAATGATGTACCTTAATTTRAGCTGCATAGCGAACTCAAATTTGTAATTGTCGAGCTATTTATACATGTTTATCTTGTGTAAACCATTACAAAAATTATGTACGCTTAACGTCGTTACAAAGAAAAGTAAGTGATACCACCGGAAGTTCGGATAATTGTCACGAGTTGGTTTTTCAACGCACCTACTCAACRGTGCATGACTGCAGACGGTACCTATACAAAATAGTACAATTATGTGTGTTGGCAAAAATACTTTAATACTAAAGATAAAAKTAAATACTGTGGCTAGGTATCTAAAAAGAACTAAACTACCCTAGAGATTATTTGATTCATTTGATTCTTCACTAGTTCAATTATTAAATATAAGAATATTTTTGTTAGTATTGAATAAAAAACTAGTTGGTATCTATATTTTTAGTAATCTATAGGACGTTACTCCTTTTTTTTCCTATTCAAAAATAAAAAACGGGTGGTAACTGTTCATCACAATACTGCCACTCGTTCAGAACATTACACCTACACCTATACTCTTATTACCTATTTGTTTTAAATTAAGTAATCATTAATAATTTACTCGCCACTCCTCCTATCACTCAAAATCTGAAGTCACTTCCAAATATTTATGTAATAATCATTTTTTAATTTACATATTATTATTCATACATATAATATATTTAAACTCCAACAAATAATTACTAATTATTAATTAATAGGTATGGTCAACCTGTTCAATATATTTATTTAATTATTTGCAAATCATTGTGTAAGTTTATAAGAAGTWTATTAGATAAATAGAAGTGACTTGAGTTTAAAACTATCAGAAACCTGAAGTAGTCTTATCGATATTATAAAATATTACCTGTATTGAACACATCGACAGCCTCTGCAGCTGCTGAATCTCGTGGTGCGATGGTGTCAACAGACATCGGGTCTATGTCGACAGAAACATCTGATGCTTCTGATCTGATGCTCCTACGATTCGAGATACCATGACACGAGCAAACAGCTACGGTTAACAAGACGGCAATCGATAGTAATTTGTTCATTGTGTATATTTTGTTTACTTCGACGACTTAGAAATCTATGAAAAAAAAAAAACAGACAAACAAATAATAATAATATTCGTATAGGACTATTGATAGACAATTAATATAATAGTTTCAACATAATTTAGTGCGCATAGTTTAATATGTTATATTTAAATACTGTAAACACAAAATATATACATGAAGATATTAGCACCAATAATTTACCAAATGAGCACAAATGAAAAAAATCAAGTATGGATAAACAAATATTTATTTATAGGTATCAATAATTTTGGCAAAAWACTTGACATAAAAACTGAAAACTCCCAAGCTTTATATGTACCTAACTTACTAAGTATTATGTTTAATGATATTTTATGGCAACAGCAGTCTAAATTTTAGGCTCTAAAACGATGTCACGACTCACGGTGGAACGCGGGATTGAAACGTGTATCGGGTATTCGGGTTATATGTCAATATTATGCGTATCAACAGTAGGTTATTATAAAATTTCAGATAAGTATGTTTTAAAAATCAATAAAAATAATCGTTACTGCGGTAAAACAATATATAATTCCAATTTTTAAATTATCAGGACACTTAATGTATAATTAATTATAATATTATAATATATAAATATATATTATGATAAGTATTAAAGTGTTAAATATTAATGTATTTATGTACGTAGTTTGCATAGGCTTAATATAGGTAATTATAAACTGTAGTTTATAGAGAATGTAGCGTCTCTAATTCTCTATGTATAATATTTAATACTCCGCTGATTCAAAATAATGACCAYTTGTCCATATCAGTGTGTTAAGATAAGATATCGTCGATCGTAGCGATTGTAATAATTTATATTTGTAAATTTGTAATTTTGTATTAACAGTTAGTCGTCGTCTGCAACAGTCGAAAGTTGTCGTTCACCGTCCGGGGATCGTAATGTCGCTACGAACCGATATTAATTAAGTGTTATTAATTATAAATAAAAAAGAATCAAATGTATTTAATAATAATAAATTATAATTGTTAAATCGAAATATACAGTCCACTATCCACGAATTAAATACGTATAGTCTTCATGGCTACAGAGAACATGAATAGTAAATTTATTATTTAGTCAACTCTATTCCATTATATTTTCAATCATTTGAGTGATGAAAACATGTTTTGCATATCCTATTCAGTATTATATATTGTGCTTATTATTTTTCTCGATCTAGTTTTTGTAGATAGGTACACTAAATTGATAAAATTTACGAAAATTATTATTAGGTACCTATGTTTTAAATAAAAATGTATTAATAATTTATTTTTAAATTACTTATGCTATTTAAAAAATTATATTATTGATTATTATTATTTTTTTAATAGACTAAGACTACACATACTGTCCCAGTGTCCCATAACATTAAATATGGAAATTAAAATTAAAATACATAACTAAATAATTAATTCGTTATAATGTTTTTTTTATCTAAACCGTATAATCCCTACACCATGCAGCTATACCTACTGAATATATTTCTCGAAAGTTACTTGCAGGATGCGACAAGCTATTGAGCAATATTGGAAAAAAATCTAACTAAAAATATGTACCCATTACTCAACAAACCAGTCTGYATTTTGACCTGTAATTTTATTATCAGCTAGGACTTTAATTAAACTGTATATTGTATAGCTTGTTATTTTATGTCTTATTCAAAAATGAACATTATAAAAACCATTTCTATTATAGGATGATTATGTTTGAGATTTTTGTTAGTTTATGCATCCAAAATTAATCTRAATATCCAAAATAGGAATATTGCCTGGTTATGATAAGATACTTTCTTGCGAAAAATTTACCTTGAATATTTCTCAAGTAAATTTATTTTATTTTTTTGTTTTCACAAATAGCTTCTTTTGGGTATAACCATAGTGGCTATAGTAGCCATATAAGTACGCTTAAATATTATGAATAGCATATTATATTATATTATATTTATATATTTTATTATATTTTTTTGTCATATTTTCGTCAGAAGAAATATTTTTTGCATTTTTAACACACAAATGAATATGTTTATATTATGATACTGAAGTATAGGTGTTAATGTGTTATACATAATATATTTTATTCTACTGTTCAACTTTATTGTAAAATACAAACATATTATAATTTATATTATTTTAGACGTGCACATATACGGAATAATGTTCATTTTTATCTGTTGTGTTATTAATTTTTTTATGCTACGATAAGAAGAATACCTACCGCTCGTAGGATACCTAATATCATATTATACTTAAATGAAGTAGTTGATCATTTTTAACACACCTATATTATTAACAAGCTATACTTTATCGAATTTTAGCAGTTAATATGAACATTGAATTACTTTTCATTATGCCGTACGTTCATGTGTGTGTTGATTTTTGAGGATCGTTCTAGTTTGCATAATGATTGTCATTTGTTTTCGGATCGAACGACAATCGTGAGATCCAAACTCAGGAGTGGAGCACACGTCGTCATATGTATACATTTTCGACTGAATTCCATTGTAATCGACGGCGTCTAGTGTAATATTATGCGGGTGTCCGGTCGTAATGGAAACCACAATGTGGCGGTTACGAACAGAGACTCGTGTCTGGCACCAAATACTCTCACCGTATATTATTATAATTTATAATATATAGAGGTACCCATCACATACAATAAAACAGTTAATATAGGTATATTATATACGCGCTCTAATATTTTAATATGCATGTGCGCGATGATCGGATTTCTAATAATGCACATTACTATTTAGTAGTTTTTCCATTGTGTCCGTTAATTATTATTTCTATAGTTCTATAATCGAAACTCTTGGTGTGGCGATAATAATGATTTAAAGTTTTAACATAATTCTGGTCGCGTCCCAGTCTGAAACCGAATGGTTAATATATCACGCCACTTAGGAATATCAACATAGTCTTTTGCCGATAGACCGTATCCGCTTTTATTAACTACAAACTCATCCATTTATAATGATGACAATGATTCGCCACGAGCTGTGCAACAAACACGATTATTATTTATTAACATTCGATGAGCGGTTCTAACTACTGTTTTCACGCGACGACTTTTTTAATGAATAATGATTCAAAATTCAAAAAATGACCGGAGACGCCGAACTATTCCAGTTGAAGCCGAATAGTTATATACATAGTAAATAATATGTATAATATTCATTTGTCGTTTCACAAATCAATATTTGTTATTTATTATACGTATATTAGGTCACATATGTAATATATATACCTAGTAATTCGTATATTTGTATGTCAATAGCCAATTATGGATTTGATTTATTAATTATGATATACGAATAGTTTAGTTCTATCATCTATACCTACTTATAAGTTATATTACGTCGATATATCYAAAAGAAAATTGTATGTCTTACATAAATTAATATCATTTTTGTTACGTTTTTATCTTAAACATTAATGTCTGACAAGGWTGTATTTCTTTTAGAATTTCCKATAAACTAGTTTCAGTCGAATATTTGAGTGATATGGAGGTACTAGCCACTAAGTATACCTAAATGACTTGAAATCGTCCGACTGTTGAACGTGAAATTTACTGCAACYTAAACTGCTTAAACTGTATAAAAACAYACACTTATTAATTGTTATAAGCGCAGACTGCTTTCCCAACGATCACGATTAATGATCATTGTTTCTATATATAATATATATACACACCTACCTACATAGTTTTCAAACACAACTAGGCACCTAGTGGTTTATGCAWATATTAWWTGATAGGTACATCAAAATTGTGAACTTGAACTTTCTTTAACTTAATATAAAGAACCATGCATAAGATTWTGTACTAAAACAACACCGGTTTTTAATTATTTAAAATTTAAATGATATATATTGTTTTTCTGTGATTTACAACACAGGTATAGGTATCTACTTAATATCATGTCATATTGTATAACATATGTAAGTAATTATTACTGATTATTTTGTTTGTATACCTACTTAGAAGTGTCATCGGCCAGAACGAAATGATTTGCAGTTCTATTGCAATTTAAATAATTGATGTGGCAGGATTTGAGTGAAAGATCAGATTAATATTTAATTACAGTATCAATGATTTATTGCCGTTGGACCGTTAAATTCTTTATACGAGAAAACTGAATCGTTTTTAAAAAGCAATGGATGTTCATTTTACATAGTTTGACGTAAAAGAAAGAGAAAAATTCACTTTACCTGTGATTTTTTGTTTGTAATTTTATAAACCGTGGTTATTTATATTGTAATAAAAATCTATGACTTGTGTAAATTTTTTGTCGAGTTCGTACTATAATTTTGATCGAATTAAAACTGTCAAAACTCGAGTGACATAAAAGTTTTATCCCGAGGGTACCCTAAATACATGAGCTCTATTAGAGACAAGATTAATGCTTACGAAATAGTTAATAAAGGAGGAACCAGGGGTGGTACATAGACGTGTTGTATTTCTTTTTCTTCACAGAAGTCYTATTAGGCCGAGATGATCTTGGCAAGATCTACTACTCAACGTCAATCTTCAAGTTAAAAATAATATAACGTTTAAAGGATCATTCTATTTGAGTCAAAATGATCAAGCAATTATGATTTGGGACCTGGACACAAAATTATATTATTAACAGTGTTATTAATCTATAGTTTCGTAAAATTTCAAATAAATATTTATGTAAAAAATATGTTTCCGTTAAACGTGTATAGTTTACATGTATACTTATCAAAATTCCACGTAATAGAATTCATAATAACTGGATATCTGGATAATATCTAACCTAACCTACCTATTACCTATATATTAACTGTGGTTGACAATTAGTCAAGGAAAATATAAGTTAACACCAGTTTGATATGACCGGATGAAATGTGTCATCGGGATTTTATACATCTGTATAATATATAYATATAAAAATGTATACATGAAAATTACTAAATTACATTTTAACTCGTTAGACGTATCGCACATATTATTACGGTGAAACAGGTAATAATGCCCGCAAGACTATACATTCTTCACATACTCTAAATTATTGCAAGTCACAATAAATCAAATAGTAATGATAACAATAGAAATAATATTTTTAAGCTTTATCTTAACGATATATTATGATATAGGTAAATTCAATAGAMGTTTAGTTTTTTTATAAATATATTTTTTATTTAAAAAGCTTAAAACTGATTAACATATTTAAGCTAATACGCTATAAAATATGAAATTAATTTTGACTACCAGTTGTTACTG